CTAAAAGGGAGATAACATTAACTAAAAGGGAGATAACACTAGCTAAAAGGGAGATAACATTAACTAAAAGGGAGATAACATTAACTAAAACACAATTTTACAACACAAAAGCTAAAAGGAGAAATAGCATATACCGGTAGTTTAAAAAAACATGCTAGCAATGAGAAAGAACACACTAAAAAATGTAAAAAAAACTTACTACGGTAAATAGTAAAAATATGGCAAACAGCTAAAAGTAGCAAAAGGCTATGTAATGTAGCAGAACAATAACAGAAAGTTAAGAAGACAAAAAATTAGCTAACATAATAAAAAGAACAATGTTTTGGAAGGAGTTGAAGATCAATCTATTTCTAGGGGGACATATTTGTAAATAAAGTATAAAAATATATATAATAGCTAAAACTCATCTGCGGAGTACCACAGGGCTCCATTCTGGGCCCTATTCTACTCCTCATTTATATCTGCCCACTGAGTCAGATCATAAACAAATTCCCTGACATCTCATACCATACCAAAAATTTGAGAATGTATTGACCAGAATTTCATCATTTGTAATGTAATTGTCAAGTATTTCTGTTTTTCTATCTGTGTTCAATTATTGTACAGCACTTGCTGCCAATCAACTCTTTCTACATTAATGATTATTGTACAGCACCTTGTGAATTCCATTTCTGTGAAAGGTGCTCTATAAATAAATTTTTACTTATTTACTTACTTATTAAAAAGTGTCACATCACCTGTCTCCAGAATGAGCTGAATGTTTTAAATGACTGGCTAAAACTGCAATGAGCATGCACACATATTTAAATGAAAGAAAATGTACAGAATAATTAAAACTATAGGAATCAGCATTCACAAATTAAAAGCTTCTTAATATTTGTTTTCTAAGTTTAGAAGATAAAGACTGGATTTTCATCAGTGTGGTATTAACCAGGTTTACCCATAGGACAGATTTAAAGTGTTGGTGTTGTAACAAGGTAAAACAATACTGATTGCTAAGAAAGAATATATACCTGAAATATTTGGATTCCTCGTAAAGTTAATCCCAATGTGAGAGACGCTTCAACTTCCTTCTTGTCCTGTTAATTAAAACTGAGTCAGGTGTGCACAAAACTGAGGACAACACAATACAAAATGAACTACCACTACATTTACAAAAGCTACATACACAGTAGACTGATATGATTATACTCTAAAACAGAGATTCTTAACCCATGGWCCGAGCGCCACTTTGAGGGCCTCAAAAGAACAACATAACTTTGGGCCGCAGGACCACATTGATTTTGAATAAGGTGCAATACACTTTGTCACCACTAGTAGCAGTAGTGCACCACTCAGATGTTTAACAACTTTTTAATATGTAGAAGAAGAACCTTAGAAACCTGCTGAGAATGGAAACTTATTTTAAATGAAAAGTAGAAGCAAAAAAAAAACACCAAAGTTTGTCACTAATATGAAGAGCAGCTTCTGTTTTTACCATGCAATATTTTAAAAGTTCAAAACATTATCAAATATGCAAAGCAACCACTG